GGTTCCCCCAGTGAAGTTCCCTTAGCTTAGCGTTGCATATCTCCTCTTAGCTTAGCTTATTTCATCTTAGCTTAGCTTAGCTTCATCTTAGCTCAGGTTTATCTTAGCTTAGCTTACATTCATCTTGGCTTCGCCGAGCTTTAGCATAGCAGAGCACAGCATAGCATAGCAGAGCGTAGCACAACACAGCGCAACACAGCATATCATAGCAAAGCCCAGCATAGCACAGCATAGCGCAGCATAGCATAGCATAGCATAGCGCAGCGCAGCGCAGCACAGCATAGCACCGCGCAGCATAGCATAGCATAGCATAGCATAGCATAGCACAGCAGCAACGCAAAGGCAAAGCAACAGCAGCGACAGCAAAGCACAAGCAACGCAAAGCAAAGCAAAAGCAAACGCAAAGCAAAGGCAAAACAACAACAATGTGCGACAGATGCCGAGCTGGCCTCGATGGCCGGACCGGAGCCCCCGCAAGCAGTGCCTTCCGTAACCATTTCGGCTCAAATCCGGAGGCCCTGCTCATCTCCGACCGTAGCATAGCATAGCATAGCGCAGCTTAGCATAGCAGAGCAGAGCATAGCGTAGCATAGCACAGCATGACATAGCATAGCTTAGCATAGCACAGCACAGCATAGCCTAGCATAGCGCAGCATAGCATAGCATAGCATAGCATAGCATAGCATAGCATAGCATAGCGCAGCATAGCATGGCATGGCATAGCATAGCAACTAATGCTGCTTTCCTAGGGGCTCCAACTTCTAGGTAGGGTCGCACTGGGGTAATTGTTGTTGTTATTGCCGTTGTCGTTGTCGTTGTCGTTGTCGTTGTCGTTGTTGTTGTTGATGTAGTTGTTGTTGGTGTTGGTGTTGTTGTTGTTGAACATTATTAATTCTAAAGAATAATTATTGTTGGGACCCCTGGTGCACGGCCCCCCTGCGCCGCCTAGGCCGCAGCTACATTTTCATCATTTTCGTGAGGAAGCCTCAGGTAATACGATGTCATCAAGATCCGGTTGTTTTGTTGTAATCCGTTTTCCCTTGCAAAAAACACTAAAAAATGACATTTCTTGTTCTAATATAATCAAATTTCAAGAATCCCTTGCAAAAAATAAGGTAAAGTGGACAATCGCGCGCGCAAGACGAAATCCTTCCAAAAGCTTAGTGTTCGGAGCGATTTTAACATAAAAACATCAAAAAACCAATGGTTTTTCAACAAAAAAAAAAAAAAAAAAAAAAAAAAAAAAAACAAAAAAAAAAAAAAAAAAAAAAAAAAAAAAAAAAAAAAAGAAAAAACAAAAAAAAAAAAAAAAAAAAAAAAAAAAAAAAAAAAAAAAAAAAAAAAATGTCGAAATTTCATCCGCGCGCTCTTGCGGATTCGTAGGAAACCCAACACTTTTTAATCATTTCTGTCAAACGGGCTTTTGCGAGCAACTTTTTCGAACTTCTGCAACAACGGTTGCGCACCTGCCAGGCCATCATCCCTGTCAAATAATACCATGCGGGACACATTCGTTTTTTCTTTCGGCGCCGGCGCTACGCGAATTCTCCCAAAAACCATGGGTTCTTAAGAAATAAAGCACCGCGGCGTTCATAAAATCACACACGAAATTCGCACCGAAGGTCCTTCGAAAAACACCTTGCAGACTTCAAAATTTCCACCCGCGGCGTCGTGTCCCTAACAACTTCTGTGGGTGTGTACTCCACGCCAGTGTAGAAGCCACGGTCGTCCGCAGGCCACGAAGTGAAGTGTCCGAACGTCATAGTCGGGAAGCTGGGTGTGGGTGGTGGCGAAGAGTCGTGTGGATATTTGGTAGAGCTTGCACTGCCCCCCCACAAAGTGGGGGTATTGGCTGGCGTCGCATGAAAACCCTGGCACTGATGAGAACACTGAGCGTCCGGGTAAAGTGATTGTTGTTGTTGTTGTTGTTGTTGTTGTTGTTGTTGTTGTTGTTGTTGTTGTTGTTGTTGTTGTTGTTGTTTGTGGTCGTCCCACCCGCGACCCACCCGCGACCCACCCCGCGACCCAACCCGCGACCCACCCGCGGCTCAACCCGCGACCCACCGCGCGACCCAAACCGCGACCCACCCGCGACCCAACCCGCGACCCAACCCGCAACCCAACCCGCGACCCACCGGCGACCCAACCCGCGACCCATCCGCGACCCACCCCGCGACCCAACCCGCGACCCACCCGCGACCCATCCGCGACCCACCCCGCGACCCAATCCGCGACCCACCCGCGACCCAACCCGCGACCCAACCCGCGACCCCCCGGCGACCCACCCCGGACCCATCCGCGACGCACCCGCGACCGACCCCGCGAACCCCAACCCCGCGACCACACCCGCGGGCCCGCGGACCAGGCAACCGCTGTGTCCACCGCGACCCAACAACGACCCACCCGCGACCCATTTGCGACCCACCCGCGACCTACCCACATTGGTTTGACAAAAAAATCGGCGCCTGCGGCGAGCTTCTCCAGAGTCTCGCAGACTGCCGACGTCCACAGCGCCCCCTCACTCGTATCCGCATCTGCGGGGATAGGGAACGATGAATAACGCATGCAAGCCTGAGGAACGACCGAGCTCCTTCTGAAAAGCAAGCGTCCCTTCCTTATTCAAGCCGCTCACTGTACTGCAGGTCCGTGTCGTGACGACCCCAGCGTTGGTTTCTGACGCCGCGTGGATCGTTCAACCTTGAACGATCGGCGGCTGGTCGATCGCCCGATCGTTCCATATAGGTTGATTCTGGGTCGCCGGCGGCGTTCAACCTTGAACGCCCGCGCTGGGGTCGCCGCGAGTCGACACGACGCGAACCTACCGTGTGCCCTTCGACGCCTCCATGGCCGCCAAACTGGCCAGCCACCTCTGTGCGCCAACTCCAGCAAGCGGCGCGCGGTGCATGCTCCAGCCCAGCAGCCCCCCTCCTCGTCGTCGCCCGCCCCCCTCGCCACCCCACGGCTCCCGCCTCGCCATCGTCGTCGCCCCCTAGGAGGAGGAGGAGGAGGAGGAGGAGGAGGAGGAGGAGGAGGAGGAGGAAGAGGAGGAGGAGGAGGAGGAGGAGGAGGTCCTCGTCGTCGTCGCCGCCCCTCCTCCTCGTCGTCGCCCCTCCTCCCTCGCCACCCCACGGCTCCCACCTCCACCCCCCCCCCCCTCGCTCGCTCGCAAGTGCCCCGCGAGCGCCCTCCCGCCGCTCCGCGGGAGGGGCACTCCCCTGGGAAGGGGGCCCCCGCCCATCGCAGGAGGGCCACTGGCCACAACGGCGCCTCGCCCGCGCCCGCCCCCTCTCCGTGCCCCCCCGTCCTCCTCCTCCCTCACGCCTCCTCCTCCTCCACCACCTCCTCCTCCCTCATCAGCATCAAGCATATCAAGCATCAGCAGCACAGCATCAGCAGCATCATCAGCTTCATTACAGCAGCAATCAACAGCAACAGCATAGCTTCAGCATCAGCATCCAGCAGCACATCAGCATCAGACATCACATCAATCACATCATCAATCACATCAGCACAGCATCAGCATCACATCAGCATCCACCCCTCCCTCCCCTCCTCCTCATACTCATCATCCTCCCCTCCTCCACTCCTCCTCCACTCACCACACCATCACCATCACCATCACCATCACCATCACCAACACCATCACTCCATCACCATCACCATCACCATCACCATCACCATCACCATCATCTCATCTCATCATCATCATCATCATCATCATCATCATCAACATCAAACATCATCATCATCATCATCATCACATCATCATCATTCATCATCATCAATCATCATCACATCAACATCATCATCATCATCATCAGCATCATCATCATCCTCATCATCATCATCATCATCATCCACCTCCACCTTCCACCTCCACCTCCACCTCCACCTCCACCTCCACCCTCCCCCTCCACCTCCACCCTCCACCGTCCACTCCCCACCCCCACTACCACCTCCACCTCCACCTCCCCTCCCTCCTCCTCCTCCTCCTCCACCTCCTCCTCCTCCTCCTCCTCTGCTCCAGAAGCGCACCCCCGACCCAGAGGGGAGGAGGAGGCAGAGGAAGGGGGAGGCGAAGCGAAGGGGGGAGGCGAAGGCGAAGGCGCATCGGGGACTTCAAAAGATTAGATAGCGAGCCAGGACGCTTCGCCACTGCTTGAACGACAGGCTGACGAAGCCTGCTGGGAATCGAGCGCAGTGCCCCTGCGAAGTGCATGGAAGCACTGCCCCGCCCGTTCGCGGGCCTGCCTGCCACGCGCGCGATTGGCTTGCGCCTCCGATCCCCCCCTCCACTCCCCCCCCCCAGGGATCCTAACTCCCTCCCTCCCCCCCTCCGATCCCCCCCCTCCACTCCCCCCCTCCACTCCCCTCCGATAACCCGAACTTGCGCCTCCGATCCCCCCCTCCGATCACCCAGGGAGGCAGCCAGGAGGATGCAGAGGAGGTGGCGGAGGCGGAGAAGGCGGGAGCCACAGGAGGAGAGAGGTGAGCGGGAGGAGAGGCCGGCGGGGCGAGGAGAGGAGGACAGAGGGCAGAACATCCAACCCCACAGAGCAGGAGCTCGACCACAAGCAGCATCCCCCAAGACTCCCAACCCTGGAGCCCCAGGACGTCTATTGACTTTTGGTGTGGGAGCGTCACGCTCTCCACAGCAAAAAACACAATCGAAGCCCGAGAAGCCCAGGGCACCCTGGAGGCAAGCAGGGTGTCTCTCGGCATGGGTTTCCACTGCAATCACGACCCCGACAAGCGAAACCGTTTGGTAAATGCACCCACAGAAGGACTCGAACAGGGCAGGGCTGTTTAGTCGACGCCCAGCGCCGTTTAGTAAACGCCGCTGTCGGGGTCTGGGTGTCCCCCCCCCCCCCCCTGGAGAGGAGGGGAGCAGGAGGTGGCGGAGGAGTATGCAGGAAGGCATACAGACGACGAGTGACGAGAGACGAGACGAGAGACCACGGTGACGACAGCGACGGCGACGGTGGCGACGACGAAAACGACAACTTCGACGACGACGAGGCGCAAGCGGGCTGCACGGCCGACGCGAGCTCGCACACGCGCGTGCGCGCGCCGATGGCGGCCTCAGCTGCTCGACCTCCCGGCCGCGTATGCGGGGCCCGTGGGAGCCCCACCGTGCGGGGGCCCCCTTGCCCCTCTTTCGCGTGCTCCTCCCCCTGCTCCTCCTGCTTCTCCTCCTCATCCCCCCTCCTCCTCCTGGTGCTCCTCCTCGTCCACCTCCTCCTTGTCCTCCTCCTCCTCCTCCTCCTCCTCCTCCTCCTCCTCCTCCTCCTCCTCCTCCTCTCCCCAGAGGGCCCCACGTGGCTCGTGAAAGCTCCGACTTTCCCCTGGAGGAGGGGGACCAGAGCAAACCCAAGATGCATCAACGATGCTGCAGGACAGCCTCCCGTCCCCGAGCGCCCTCCTCAAGGTCCCTGCAGGCTGCACTCGTCACTGCGGGAAGAGCGCCCCATGGAAGACCAACACCTTTTTGGAACCGTCATTTCGGGCGAGAGCCTCGTCCTGATATGGGAGTGCACTGCTGAAAGGGGCCCGCAAGCACACAAATAAATACACACAAATACACCGATTCCCCATCTTTTCCCATATTTTCTGGGTTTCTGTCTTCCCCCCACTTCCCATATTTTCGCATATTTTCTGGGAATCGACGATTAATTGTGTCTGTGTGTTTTTTCTCCTCTCCTGAACTGCGCCCTTCTGGATCACAAACATCAGAATCTTCCGCCCCGAGAGGCCCCGAGGAGGCCCCAAGAGACCTCCAGGAGGCCCCCAAGATGGCACCCCAAAGGTCCCAACACGCCCCCCCGAGAGGCCTCCCGCGAGATCCCAACGAAGATCCTAGAGGCCTATAACCCACAACCCAGGCACGGTGGCGGAACGGGCCGAAAGCCATTCGACACGCTCGGCACGGGGACGGAAAGCGCGAGTACTTCGTGAGGGCGCGCGATAGCTTTGTATTCAGATTTTGGTACGTCATACAAAAATCTGACACACACACACACACACACACACCAAACACACACCACATACACATACACACACAACCTTGCGATAATCAATGCACATGGCCCATCCAAGCCTTCGTGGAGCTCCTTTTGGGGCTCTTTTTGGCCGTCTTGGGACCCTCTTGGGCCCTCTTGGGGAGCTAGGGCCGTCGTGGGGCCCTCGCGGGGCCCTCAGGGACCCTCTTAGGGACCTCCTGTGGCCCTCTTGGGGCTCTCGTGGGGGCCTTTTGGGGCTCTCAAGGGACTCTCTTGGGCCGTCTTGGGGCTCTCTTGGGCTGTCTTGGAGCCCACTTGGGCCGTCCTGGGGCCGTCTTGGGGGCCTCCTGGGCCGTCTTGGGGCGGTCTTCGGGGCCTCTTGGGCCGTTTTGGACGCCGAAGAAGTGAATATAACATGTACGTTCTCCTCATGGGATGGGACGATGTTTGTCTGTTGGAGCTCCTCTGGGGGGCCTCTTGGAGCATCTTGAGCATCTCTTTGGCGGTCCTGAGACCATCTTGGGCCCTCATGGAGCGGCCTTGGGCCGTCTTCGAGCCCTCGTGGGACTCCCAGAGGCCCTCGTGGAGGTATGTGAGGGTATCTAGGGAGCGTCTTGGGCTGTTTCTTTTATTGTTAGAATGTCGTCCCGAGAAATCGATTGCTGCTCACGCCGTCTGAAGGGACATCACTTAAAAAGCAAGGCCGTGGCCAATGGATAAAACCTGCGCCGCGCTAGCTGCGCGTCGATCTCAATGCCGCCGAGACGTTGGCGCGGACAAAGCGGACAGCCTCGGGCTGTGTGCACCGTCCGCTGGCGCTCGCGGGCCGCCGCTCAGTTTCACCAGGGCGCGAAGAAGCCGTTGGCGTTCGCGAGCACCGACCCGAAGAAGAGGATGGTCATCGAGATCACGTAGTTGTTCCCGCCCACGTCCCCCAGGCTCAGTGCCGCGGGCGGAGGCGTGGTCGTCACCGGCGCCCCGCCGAAGAACTGCATCTCCACCGCGGGGGCGCGCTGGCCCGCGCGGAGCCCCGCCGGGGAGGCGCCGACGAAGGACAGCGCGAGGGAGCCCACCAGCAGGGCGGCGGCAGCCGCGGCGGCGCAGGCGAGCAGCAGGGACGCGGAGCGGGCCATCGCTGGGCCTGGCGGGGTGCGTGCGCGCGGTGCCCCGAGGCGTGGTCGGCGCTGAACGGCTTTAGCCGAGGAGGACTTTGAACCAAAATGGCTACAGTCGAGGCGTTGACCGAAGGAACCCTAAATAAGGAACGAGGCCCGTCTTTTCCATCAGTAAAACTTCGACTTCCCATCAAACACCTAAGGAAAACCTTAGGCAAACTGTAGAACAATCAAGGAACACCGAGCCCCTCCCCAACGAAAAGGGTTCCTTCTTCAGGGCCCCGACTGTATGGAAAAGCGTCTTGGACCGCCTGGGGGGTCTCTTGGGCGCTCGGGCTGACTTGGGCTGTCCGAGGCCGAAGATGCCCCCAACGACATGGGCCGTTCCATCTGGGGCCCGGGCGGCCCACCCCCCCCTGTTGTCTCCCGACGGACGGATCGCGACGCTTCGCGCGCTTTCCGTCATCCGCCGACCCCTGTTCGGGCATTGGCGGGACCTGGCTTAGTGGGATCTGGTTTAGTGATGTGTACCGGGGGGCGCCCCCCCCCGCCCCATTTCACTAACTGGAATTGCCGCAACCCGAAAAGCATCAGCTACGGCAGACCTGGTTTAGCGATTCCGATCCATCTTTTGACCTTCGGGGACCAACCACTGAGCGGCTCCCCTCAACCGGGGTCCTGGCTATACCCGACCTGTTGGCTTGGCAAAAGGGTGCCTGGCAAGCTGAACTTCTGCAAGGTTTGTGGTTCTTTTGGAGCCGCCCTTGGGGCGTCGGTCCCTTGCGCCGGCCACCCAGAAAGCTCCGGGCGGGGTGGTTGGCAAGGATTTGTCCGCTCCAGACGGGCCCAAGACGGCCTCCAAGTTCGCCTGGACGGCCCAAGAGGGGCAAAGACGCCTCCCAATCCGCCCAAGAAGCTTCCAAGACGGCCCAAAACGGCCCCCAAGAGGCCTTCAAGACGGCTCAAGAAGCCTCCAAGAGGTTCTCCCGGATGGCCGGAAGAGGCCGTTTCATAATGGTTTGAAGGGTTTTTGGCGTTTGCGTATTTTCGTCCTTCCGACGGCCCAAGATGGCCCAAGAGGCCCCCATTGTTGCCCCGAGATTGCCCAAGAGGCATCCAAGATGGCCCCAGGACGGCACACGAGGCTCCCAAGACGGCTCCCAAAGGGCCCCAAGACGGCCCAAAAGGCCTCCAAGACGCCCAAGATTGCCGTCAAGACGGCCCAGAAGCGCCCTAAGAGGGCCGCCCCAAGACGGCCTAGAAGAAAGGCTCCCAAAATGGCTGCCGACGGCGTCAGACGGGCTAGGAACGCCTCAAGACAGCCAAACAGGCCCCCAAGGAGCCCCCAAAGGCCCCCAAGAGGCCCAAGGAGGCCCCCAAGAGGCCTCAATAGGCTCCCAGGAGGCTCCGAAGCTCCCAAGAGGTCTCCTCATCCTTCTTCTCATCCTCCTTCTTCTTCACTCTCCTCATCATCCTCTTCCTCCCCCACGTGCTCCCCGAAAGGCTTCCACAACGGTTGGGGGAGCGCATGGTCCAATAGCGTGGCCAACATTTGCCCACACGTTTGGCCACATAGGCGTATCCTAAAAGGCAGGGGTCGGCGCTGATTCGCCGTAAGCATCTTTGATAACAACAAATCGCCCCCAATCCGTGCAACTGTCCTACAACTTTCCAATTCTGGCTCACGAACTTCGCGGAAATCTTAGGCGAAAGCCCCATATGGAAGAAGAATTGTCCTCGTGTCGTGCAGTTCTAACACATGTTCAAGCCTCCGGCCCTCTTAAATTGCAAGAGGACTCAAGCGATAGCCCTACTTTGACAATGAGCCGTCATCCCAGTAACTGTTGCGAGCGTTTAAAACGACGCACCAAGGCGAAAGTAACATTCTGAACAAGAGTCGCCCTGTATCACTGTTGCAAATTTCAAGGGCCTTACTTTATGGGAAGTCTCAAGGGAAGCGCCCGGCCCGCCCTACCAACACGCCTGGGGCTGCGACAGAGAATCTAAGTATATGGAAAAGAGATGGAGGAGGATTTGGAGGAGGAATGCGAGGGGTCGAAGGTGGGAGAAGGAGGATAGCGGAGAAACGGAGGAGGATATCGAGGAAGAGGGTGCCAGCAACAGGATGACCATTATGACGAGAGGTAAGACGATGCTTCAGGACAGAGGGGGCGGGTGGAGGATGGAAATAAAGCGTGGAGGATGGGGGAGGGGAGGGGGAGGGTGGACGATGGAGGGGAAGTGCTGGCCGTGGGTACAAAGTGGGTACAAGTCCAGGAACTCGTTGCTTCCTCACCCGATCCCGAGAAACCTACCCAAACCGACGAAGCTCACGGCAAGTCGTAGCGTAGGCTGGCCTCAATTACGCGGAAGCGCGTGAGGCTCGTGCCCATCCTGAACAAAAACACAAACATATCACAACTGCGGGTCTCTCTTGGACTGGCCATTTGCGCTGCTCATGGGCCCTCATGGCTCGTAGCCAGGATAATGCATCGAGTAACACACACACACCTCTCTGAGTGAAACGAGCTCGAAGTCGACACTTCATGAGTTGAATGAATGGCCACTCCACGAATGAATGAATGGCGAAGCTCGGCATCCATCTTTGAATGTATTGCCATTTCACTACTGTGGATGCGACTTTTGAACGTCGGATGCAACCCTCACGGAGATCGCGACGCCACGGTCCCAACACTTAAATGTGTTTTAGCATGCTGTGCTCGAGATCTTTGAAAGTTCACTCGTTCCCAAGAATATGCGCACACGTATTATAGGCCCTAATGCGTTCTAAGTGTTCTCCCGTGCGCATGCCACCATCTCTATATTACCACTAAGGTTGTCCAAACCCATGTGGCTTCCCAACGGTCTAGGCGTCTGGGCACGTTTGTTCAACGAAGTTGTTTAAAGTATTCGCTAACACATTGATGCTCAGGCGTGCTGGTTTAGCACAGTTGCTCAACGTGACTTGCACGAACACTGTTGCGACCTAAATTCCATAGCCCATAGCCACCGGATCTGCGGATAAGAATGAGGGTGCAACGAGGTCGTCGGCAGTCTGCGAGGCTCTGAAGAAACCAGCCGGAAACGTCGCTTTCCCCCCGAACAGAGCTTGCACTTCACTTGTGTTTTAAAGGAACTGGGGGGGGGGAGTTGTCGGTCTGGCGGCTCCGTGCTCGCCGTCGCCGAGAGGCGCCGCCCGTCGTCTGGTGGGGGGTGTCAGTCCAGCGGCTCTGTGCTCACCGTCGCCGCCCCGTCGTTGCCTCGTCGTCGCCCGACGTCTGGATGGGGTTGTCGGTCTGGCGGCTCCGTGCTCGCCATCGCCGCTCCGTCGTCGCCTCGTCGTCGCCCGTCGTGTGGGCCTGATTCTCGGTCTGGCAGCTATGTTGTCGCCGTCGCCGCCCCGTCGCCGCCTACATTGCACAACGTAGATTGCACCGTATACGTTGCACCACATAGACTGCATTGCGTAAGTTGCACCACATCGATTGCAAACATAGATCGTGCAACGTAGATTGCTCAGCATATATTGCGCCGCGTTGGTTACACCGGTAGATTGCACGACAGAAAAATAACACCACGTACATTGCACCACGCAGCTAACACCACATTTCCTGCACCAGTTAGATTGCACCACGTCGATTACACCGCATAGTTTCTGCGACGCGTAGTTTCCACCACACAAATTGCGAAACACAGTTTGTACAACACAGATGGTATGTGAATGCGCGGTATGAGCCAACGTCCCACCTCCTAGCTGGACATTGAGGAGGTAGGGCGCGGAGAAAATGCAAACATATGGAAAAGGAGGCCATCGAAAAGGGAGAATCAATACAGTGATGGTTGGCACGGGGAAGAGGAGGACGATGACGATGACAACGACGACGACGATGAAGAAAAACACGTAGATGGAGGAAAAGGAATATGGGGAGAAGAGTAACAAAAAACAGGGCGAAGAGGCGGGGGCAAAAGCCAAGGGGGAACTAAGGAAAAACACCGCCACGATCTCTCTCCCCCCCGACGCCGCCGTCTTTTCACGGGCACCCGCCGCGGCAGGCGCCGCGCCAGCGCGGCCCTCGCCTCGGGGGGGGGAGGCCAGCGACTGGAGGCCCAGAGACACCGCCGGCGCGTGCCCGACACGACGCCCGCACCCGCGGCCAGCGCGCCCGCGCCAGCGCCGGAGGGAAAACAGCAGCAAAACAGACGAACAGGGCGACGTCGATGCCTCCCTGAGCGACGCGTCTCTCTCGCAAGCGGCTTCGGCCGTCCCCGATCCGCGCCGCCGCGCCGCCGCGCGCGCCAGGCGAACCGCGGGCAGGAGGTGCGGGGGCCCCCCGGCCCACCAGGGGAGCCAGTTTCCGAGGTGGGGGGAAGAAGGGGGGATGCCACCAGCCCAAGGGACGTTGGGGGTGCGGTGGGGGCGTCGACTCTCGCGCCGACGACGGCGACGACGACGCCAGCGACCGCGACCGCGACGACGACGGCGGCGGCGACGACGACGACGACGACAACGACCAAACAACGAGGACGACCGCGGCGACGACGACGACCGCGACGACGACGACAACGACCACGACGACAACGACGACCGCGACCGCGACAACGACGACGACGACGAAGGCGTCGCCTGGGCCAGTCGGCGCTCCAGCCGCGCCAGCGCTGCAGCCGGAGCGGCCCCGGCGGCGGCGGGGGCGACGGCGGCCTCGGCCTGGCGAGCTGGGCGAGCCGCCCGCAGCAGGCGAGAGGCCGTGGCCAGGCGGTCGGCAGACCCCACGTCAGAGGGAGGACGAGGAGGAGGAGGAGGAGGAGGAGGAGGAGGAGGAGGAGGAGGAGGAGGAGGAGGAGGAGGGAGGGGAGCGCGGCGCCTCTCGAGCGCCCCCCGCCGTCCGCGCTGGCGCGCGCCCGACGGACTACGCCGAGGCGCACTCGCGCCGCGATGGCGGAGAGGGCAAGGTTGAAGAAAGTGTGGAGAAAGACCCGCGCGCAGAGGAAGAGGGCCATGGGCGCGTCGACGCAGGCCAACTTGCCGCCGACGAAGGAGGCGTCGCCACCGAAGAAGACGCCGCGCCACCAGCCGACCACGGAACGGCAGCGAATCACGACATGGTCGATCAACGCGCCGCGTGGCTGCAGGAAGAGCCCCCCTGCGGGGGCGGCGCTGCAGGGGTGCGTCGGGCACGAGGCGCCAAGCCCCTCTCGACACGCCAAATCGCATCTTGCTGGTTGCGGCGCGTGGACTCGTTGGGCGAGAGCCCATCGCACCTCAAGCCAAGCTTCCGCGCTGTACGGACATCGCCCGCAGCGCAGTGAGACCCGCAGCGCCTGCAACAGTGAACATTGTTACCCCTGAACACGTCGTGCCCAAGCGCAGCGAAGGCGCCCCCAACCTCCTCAGCCAAGGCAGGTGGCAACAAGGCTGCGGGGGCCGATGGCTGCGAGCTCCCTTCGAGCGCCAAGGCCGCGCCCAGGGCCATGCCAGCCCTCTGGTCGCTGCAGAGAACCCAGCCCTCGCCGAAGGCGCGGAAGTACTCGGCGTTGAGAGCACTGGCAACACGCGAAGGGCGACATACACGATGAGAGCTAGTTTGCAGCGACTCGAGGGAGGAGCCCGTTGCGGCCGTGACTCCGCATTGGGTGCATCGGCGCCGCCCGAGGCTGGCGCAGTAAGCAAGGACATGGTCTGCACTGCGCGCCACAACATTGGGCCTGGCCTGCTCGCAAGGTGGCCTGGGGACCTCCACGTCGCACCCCCATTGTTTGCGAGCCACCGCTTGCAATGCCGCCCACGAAATGAATTGCAGGACCTTGCGGTGCTGTTTCAGCGCAAGCAGCTCATGGAGCGCTGTCCAAGCCCTTTGAAGGCGGCGAGGTGGCGCGCGCCCATCCCACATTCAGGCGGCGCAGTGAAAGACCAGGTTCTGCCGTGGCGCCCGCGTGGTGTTTGTCACTGCGCCCGTTCAACACCGCGGCCTAGTTGCGCATCTCACGCGGGGGCGCGTCCGCCAACCCCGGCGCTCCAGCGCCGGGCGGCATGGCCCCGGTCCGCAACAGGGTGGGGCCTTGTGCCCTACCGCGCGACGCAGCATTACGAGGCGGTGCTTGCGCTCCCGCACGGCCTTCATGCGCATCTTCTCAACCTTCCGCGGCGATCGAAGGCCATGCAGCTCATGGCCAAGGTTGCGCATGGGTCGGGCTTGGGGCACCGCCCGAGGCAGCCGCCGCTGGGCCCTGTGCACCGCGAGGCGGACCTGCGCTGATCCAGCCACCACCGCGGACATATCAGGTTTGAGAATGAGCCCGAGGTCCCTGGCTTCTGCAGTGAGCACCCTCGCAGCGCGCAGCAGCAAATTGACATCGCCGATATCGGGGCAGACCATCTGCAGGCCGATGTCGTCCACCAGCGAACGTGGATTGATTGTCGGCGCAGCCCTGCTGGCCCAGTGGAGGACACGGTACGCCAGCAGGTCGATGAGGTAGGCGGCGTGCGCGCACCCCGCCAGCACCCCTGAAAGGCGACGAAGGGGCGCGAGAGGCTGCCGTACGCCTTGATGCGCCGTGGCTGCTGATAGAGCTGCAGCAACATTCAGAGCAGGCGCATCGGGTAACCCAGCTCCCGTGCCTCCCGCATGAGCGCATGAGGACTCACCATGCCAAAGCATTTCACCATGTCAGGGAGGATGGTGCACGTGTGGTCGCCTATGAGGCTTCCCACCTCTTGCTCCAGATTGTGAGCGAAAGCCGAAGCCGTGGATGTGTGGCTGCCTCGGGTACCCCACATCTCGTCGCAATGATGGTTCCGTTGCCACTCCGCCGACAGCCATCGGCGTGCTTTCGCCCAAACTCGTATGAGAGCATGGCTAAGCCCCATCAGCCTGTGGCCACCATCTGGCTTAGGGAGACAGACCATCTCACTAGACAGGCGGTCTGAAGGAAACCGCAAGTGCAACTCAAATACCTCGTGCCGTAGGTCATGGGCCGTCAGGCTAGGCAACTCCTCCCACGTAGGTGCATCCGTGGGTAGAGTCAGCTCTTCCAGCCCATGGGTCGCCCAGATCCGCTTCCACTCGTCCATGGTGCGGCCCGCGAGGATGTGTGGCTGGGCGTCGGACTCAGGGGCAACGAGTTCTTGCTGCGCTCTGACCTTGGATGCAGCATGGGCAGCCTTCGCTCCCCCCATGCAAGGCCGCCAGAACCCAGCTGCGCCAAGCTCTCTCCGACGCGCCGCGAACCGCGGCAATGAGGTCCTCCGCACGGCCCACGATGGCATCTACCATGTCATCAAAGTCCGCCGCAATCAGCCCGTCCAGCCCGCGCAGGAAGAACTGGCGGTGACAAAAACGCTGGATTCGATCTCGCTCAGCACGAAGGTGAGTAGCCCAGCGTGCCGCAGTAACCGAAGCCCAGACTGTGGTGTCGTGGTACAGCCGCTTGCGAGGTGGCTCCCACCGCGGCTGCCGCCACTTCACCTTGGGGGGGCCATGGTGCCCGACGAAGCGGTTGGCTCCAGGGCCAACTTTGTCGTGCCCGCCTGCGATCTCGTAGTCAATGCCCTGCAAAACGGAGTCCCAGACATGCTGCAAGACATCCTCTGGTGTGCCTGCCTCGCCGACGGCGCGTCCATGGGCCCAGGTCCGACGGCGGTAACGTCGTCCCGCGCGTCCCGATCGATCGCGCTTAATTTTGCCTAAAGGACCAAAGTGGTAAAAGGACTTACATCGGTCCCGATCGGGCCTCCGTTGAACATGCTCCGTGCCAGCAACCCTGTGCGGCGCGGTGGCCGCTCGCACAAATAAGCTAACTATCCCAAGTATGCCAAGGAAAGGGGAAACGAGCACAGCCAACAGGGGGGACAGCAGGCAGTGGGGAGGAGGAGGAGGAGGAAGAGGAGGAGGAGGAGGAGGAGGAGGAGGAGGAGGAGGAGGGGAGGAGGAGGAGGAGGAGGAGGGGAGGGAGGAGGAGGAGGCGGAGGAGGAGGAGATGAGGAGCAGGAAAAGGAGGTGGAGAAGGAGGAGGAGGAGAGGAGGAGGAGAAGGAGGAGGAGGAGAGGGAGGAGAGGAGGAGGGAGGAGGAGGAGAGGAGGAGGAGGAGGAGGAGGAGGAGGAGGAGGAGGAGGAGGAAAAGGAAGAGGAGGAGGAGGAGGCGGAGGAGGGACGTAGGGGCCGCACGCAGCAGCGGATCGCATCCAGCGAAAGGGAGGCGTGCCCCCGGACTTGCCACCAGCTACATACCTCCGAAGAGGTGCGCGTTCGCCAGAGACGGCCCCCGACCCCGCTTGCAGGAGCAGCAGCACCAACCACAGCCACCTCTAGGCAGAGTTGGGTTCCGTCCCTGAAGGGGGCTTTCCGGAGGTGCCACCCCCTTGAGCCACCCCGCGCACGCGGATCAGCTCCTCCCCAGCCTCCTCATCGTTCGGCGCCGCCGGCGCCTGCTTGGCCACCGAGTCCATGAGATGGTCGAACTTCTTCAGCGCCTCCGCATCGACGCCCGCGCCCATCAGGCCCTCTACGAAGGCCGACTTCAGGCTCTCCACAATCTCCTTGTCTACATCCCGGTCGTCGGCACCCTCTGAAAGGCTGCTCTGGCTGCTCTCATCCAGCGCCGCCTCCTTCTTCTTCTTGTTCGTCTTATCTTTCTTCACCTTCTTCTTGCCCACCACGGCGAACTGCTGCCCAGGGTGAGCCTCCACCGCGTCAATTCGGGGATGGACAGACCCCCCTTTAGTAAAACGTGGTTTAGTGAAAACGACCTGAGGCCCAAACCTGGCGACCGCAAGCCTGGAAAATAACGGCCACGGCGCCCTCTCGAGAACCGAAAACGGACAATTCACTAATCGACGTGTCACTGTTGGGGGTTCTGTCCGCCCCCGATCCATGTAGTCTTCCTCGTGACTGAGGTCCGTCCAGCACTAGCGCGCCGAATCCATGCTGCCTACCTCCGGTGCCGCATGCACGGCCTTCTCGTTGTGCTTTTCCACCGCTTGAGCTGCACCGCCGCCGCAGGGCAAACCATCTTTGTCGTCCAGGAGCTTCCGCCTGGCTCCCAGCCGGCCCGAAGGAGGACTCACGTGCACCTTCACCTCCATGTCGTGCTTGGTCTGCTTCCAGTCCCGAAAACAGCAGTGTCGCCGACCCCGCCGATGCCCTTTGACCACCACGTCCTTGGCATCCGCCACGCAGCTGGCGTTGCCTTAGCCGTCGTCGAGGGCGTCCCCGATGTAGCAGTGTTGCCCTCGACCCAGACCTTGTGCCCCAACCACAGGATCGGGACCCCCTATGGCGGCGTGAAGTGGGCCGCCGCCCTTGATGTCCAGGACCACAGAGTCGATCCTCTTGCCGCTGGCCTTGGCCAACGCCTCCACGAAGCGCTTCTTTCGGGTCGGGCGAAAGGGGGGGATGGCAAAAGGGGGGGTTTGAGAATCAGCTCACGTAGCTGATTCTCCCGGCGCCTCCTGGCGCCGGAGGCGGCTATGCATCGAGGAATGGGCCCCTCGGTGGGGCCGAAACCAGCTGCATGCAGCAAATTTCGTCACCCCCCCTTTCCCAATCCCCCCCTTTCGCCCGGCCCGACCTTCCAACGCACCTGCTGATGACACTTCGCGCGATGGCCGCGGCCAGTACGCCTCACTGCATCGCCACTGTGCCCCCGCGAGGCACTGAGGGGAGGCGCGAGCTGCATGCAGCATATCCCGATTCGTGCGGCGGCGAGCTCGGAGACGGCAGCCATGCACCAACACCATCCCTGGCCTGGGCCGCCCTGGGCCCCTGCGACCCGAGGAGGAGGAGGAGGAGGAGGAGGAGGAGGAGGAGGAGGAGGAGGAGGAGGAGGAGGAGGAGGAGGAGCAGGAGGAGGAGGAGGAGGAGGGAGGGGGAACAGGAGGGAGGGGGAGGAGGAGGAGGGGGAACAGGAGGAGGGGGAGGAGGAGGAGGAGGAGGAGGAGGAGGAGGAGGAGGAGGAGGAGAGGAGAGGAGGAAGAGGAGGAGGAGGTCGCGGGTGAGATGGAAGAGAAGGGGGAGGAGAAGGAGGAGGAAAAGGAGGAGGAAGAGGATGAGGATGAGGATGCGCAGGAGGAGGAGGACAAGGAGGAGGAAGAGGAGGAGGAGGAGGAGGAGGAGGAGGAGGAGGAGGAGGAGGAAAAGGAGCAGGAAGGGGCGGGGGCGTCGACAGCGCCCGCCATGCGGGCTTCTCCCAGAGCCCTAAAACTTAAGGACACACTTCAATGCGTTCGTCGCGATCCAAGTCTGCGCCCGTCCCTCCCGTGCATTCTCAAACTTCAAGAAGCAGCTCGCACCTGTCTGATTCCGACAATTTCCTTCCACTGCGGACGCGCCGCGCCAAGCTGAAACCGAAGAAGAACCCTGCAGACTCATGGGGTTCCGTGGACTTGCAGCGTCGGAGGCATCGGGGAATCGAGTTGGAACCCCGAGGATCCAGCAGGAACTCGAGCTCGAAACGTCGGGGCCCTCGTGGAGCCGAGGCGGACACGCCGCCCTCGGGCGCCGGGCCCCGTCAGCGACGGAGCCCGGCGAGGGCGGGCTCGTCGGCCCTCCTCCCATCAGATCCCATGAGTGGAACGCGGTCCGCGGCCCAGCCGCGCCGTTTTGCCCCAGATCGGGGAAAGGGGTTGCGGAGGTGGGAGGAGGAGGAGGAGGAGGAGGAGGAGGAGGAGGAGGAGGAGGAGGAGGGGGGAGGAGGGGGAGGAGGGGGAGGAGGGGGAGGAGGAGGAGGAGGAGGAGGAGAGGAGGAGGAGGGGAGGAGGAGGAGGAGGAGAGAGGAGGAGGAGGAGAGGGGAGGAGGAGGAGGAGGGGGAGGAGGAGGAGAAGGAGGAGGAGGAGGAGCAGAACCCCTTTTCGTAAAGCGCGGTTTAGTGAGAACGGCCTCGGGTCCCGACCTGGCGGGCGCAAGCCTGGAAGAGGACGGCCGCGGCGCCCTCCCGAGAACCGAAAATTGACAGTTCACCAATCGACGTGTCGGGGTGGGGGCTCTGCCCACCCCCGAGAGAAGGGGGGGAAGGGCTCGAAGACTACCGCCTGGGCCCGAACACCTCGTGCAATCGGAAGCAGCGACGCAGCGCCTCCGCAAAAAGCAGCCGCCGCTCCCTGCAGCTCCGCACTGCCCACGACCGCTCGGCCAGCCGACCGCGGTGCGATATACATGGGCCGGCGGAGTGAGCGAAACGACTACATAATGCCGCCTGGGCCTGAGCACCTCCCTGAAGGGGCCCAAGAACACACAAATAAATACACACAAATACAAATGCTCCCTACATTTTCATACATTTTCTGGGTTTCTCATATTGTCCCAGATTGTCCCCGGAGTCCACGATTATCGGGGACGGACAGACCCCCCTTTAGTAAAACGTGGCTTAGTGAGAACGACCCGAGGCCCAAACCTGGCGGGCGCAAGCCTGGAAAACAACGGCCACGGCGCCCTCCAGAGAACCGAAAACGGACAATGCACTAATCGACGTGACACTGTTGGGGGTTCTGTCCACCCCCGAGGTCAGTTTTGTCTGTGTTTTTTGCCCTCCTGACTCCCGTAGGCAATGCAGCGGATTGCTGCTCCTCGCTCGGCGCGTCGTGGCTCCGCCGGTGCTCCGGGCCGGACCCCGCCTGTGGCCCGTGGGCGACGCCCCTGGGCCCGCCGCCCCGTGCCAGGAGCCCGAGGACGGGAAGGAAGAGACGGAGGAGGAGGAGGAGGAGGAGGAGGAGGAGGAGGAAGAGGAGGAGGACGAGGAGGAGGAAGAGGAGGAGGAGGACGAGGAGGAGGAAGAGGAGGAGGAGGAGGAAGAGGACGAGGAGGAAGAGGAGGAGGAGGATGAGGAGGAGGAGGAGGAGGAGGAAGAGGAGGAGGAGGAAGATGAGGAGGAGGAGGACGAGGAGGAAGAGGAGGAGGAGGAAGAGGAGGAGGAGGAGGAAGAGGAGGATGGCACGAGGGTCGGCAGCACCGTGGGGAGGGGCAGTCGACAGGGACGGCGAGCGAATCTGCTGATATGGATGAGCGCAATCGTCGGGCTACTGACCGACTCGGCCTCCTCCGGCCATGCGCCGCCTAACTCCGACCTGGAGGGTGTTAGTTTCATTCGAGGGCGAGCGGTGCGCCGTGCTGGACAGCGAGCCCGATAGCCTCTAGCCACTTAAGCTGGAGCCCCCTGAATGAGAGAGGGCTTAATGATGTTCAATGTCAAAGGAAAACACGCGGCCGACCGTGTGAAGACCGCGCCAGAGCCTCTTCCTGACACTGCATCCCTTGCCGAGCCTCGACGATCCTTTACAATCATGGAGCAAGCCCACGCCGTGCGCAAAAGACAAGGCCATCGGGACATGTGCCTGAAAACAAAGCTAACCCAGCCTTGGCAGATCGCCCCTAAATTCTCCATACAAAAGCGTGTGAGGCTCGTTACTAGGGGGGCAAACAAACCTACCACGCTTTTGACCACCCTCGCTTCCAAGAGATACCAAGCGATGCCAAACTACGGCCTGTACTGGTCAGGCAGCTTGACGAGGAGGCGCGTGGTATGACTTGGTTTTGCCTGGAAGCGAAAGCGGAGTAGGTAATTCACGCTCTGAGTTACGTTCCACCTCCTCTCGACCTTATCATCTGGCTGAGCGTGACGCGCGCCGCGCAACTCCCTGGACGCGATGCGTACGTTGCCAGTAGCGGGCGACGTCGCGTGTCTGGGGCGGGTTATCCCTTGCCTTGGGCGGCACGGCCATGCCGCTAACATGGTAGAAACAATGATGCAAAACGGGAAGAAAAGGAATGCGTGGGGTGGGGATAGGCAGGCCAAATGGGAATGCTTGCTGGCGACGAGCACCTCGAGAGCTCGGCCCGCGCAATCGTTTCGAGGCGCCGCGGGGAGGAAGGGGGCACAAACAAAAGGGAACGGGAAAGGGGGCGGGAGGAAGGGTGGGGCAGGAACGCGAGGTGGATCAGTGACAGGGGAGAAAAAGATGAGCAAGGGGCGATGGGCGAGAGCGGGAATAGGAGGAGGAGGAGGACGAGGAGGAGGAGGAGGACGAGGAGGAAGAGGAAATCATCGCGACAAACACCGTCTCTTATTGCCGTGTTTGTTGTTGTTGTTGTTGTTGTTGTTGTTGTTGTTGTTGTTGTTGTTGTTCTCCATCTCTCTCTCTCTCGCCTTCTCTTATCACAAAAAAAACTGAGGATGAGGGGTGGAGGACGAGGAGGACGAGGAGGAGGAGGAGGAGGAGGAGGAAGAGGAGGAAGAGGAGGAGGAAGAGGAGGAGGACGAGGAGGAGGAGGAGGAGGGGGAGAGGTGGACGAGGAGGAGGGGAGGGGATGAGGAGGAGGAGGACGAGGAGGAGGAGGAGGACGAGGAGGAGGAGGAGGAGGAGGAGGAGGGGGAGGAGGAGGAGGAGGAGGAAGACGACGAGGAGAGAGAAACAAGGGGAGGCCTCGGCTGGCGCTGCGCCGGCCGGGCCCTCCACCGCGCCGGCAGCCTCGCGCGGGCGCGCGCGGGCGCGCGAGGCCCCGCCGCGCGCGCGCTTCGCAGACGGCGGGCTGGCGCCCCCCTCGCGCGCTCCCCAGCCGCGGCCAGTCTCCCCCTCGAGGATGGCTCTCGCCCCTCTCCTCCTCCTCCTCATCCTCCTCCTCCTCCTCCTCCTCCTCTCCTCCTCCTCTCCATCCATATCTTCTCTCCTCCTCCTCCTCCTCCTCCTCCTCCTCCTCCTCCTCTTGCTCCTCCTCCTCCTCCACCTCCTCCTCAGGTGCATCGTGCTGCAGCCGCAGCTGGCCGCCCACCAAGCGGGTGGCCTCGTGCACCCGGGAAGCGCTGTCTCGGACGCCCGGAATGGGTACGGAAGGAATGGGCACAGTGCCCAGCAACAAACGTTGTCCCAAACCAACAGCGGCCGCTGTTGGGCAGGCGGCCTTCTGTCGCGAGTGGACACAAGCCGCGGCGGCGTGGACAGCGAGTCCTGTTCAAAACGGACAGGATCCGCTGTTGGGCATTGTACCCATTCTCTCCGTGCCCACTTCGTTCGTGCAGAGTTGTAGCCGTGGCACGCGCGCAACCGATCGCAGCCGCGCGCGGAGACTGGCACCCCGCACGTGGGACACGGCGCGGCGGCGACTCCTCCTCCGCCTCGTCCTCCGTATCCTCCTCCTCCTCTTTCTCCTCGTCCTCCTCCTCGTCCTCCTCCTCCTCGTCCTCCTCCTCGTCCTCCTCCTTCTCCCCCTCCCCCTCCCCCTCCCCCTCCCCCTCCTCCTCTCCTTCCCTCCTCCTCGCCCCTCCTGCCGCATCATCCCCAGGCTCTTTTTCCCCCTGTTTCATCCCCCCTCACAAATCCCGCCCTCGTGCCCCATCACCCTTCGAGCTCGCCTCGTTTCTCTCCCCCGCTACTGTCTCCACTTCTCCCCCCCCCCGTCGTCGCAATTCGTAGCACTACTTCACGAGGGCAAGTGGCCCTCGCGCGGGTCCCGTGCCAGCTTCGCGCCCCAACGCGCGCGGTGCGACATGGCGCGCATGGGAAGATACGCGAATGCGCCTCCATGGTGGCTCGACTTAGCTGGCAGCCGAGAAGTGCAACTAGCGGCTATAGGCCCGCCCCGAGGATAACCGCAGAAACGCGCGGGCAAGGCGCGCCTCGCCTCCGTCGTGTTTCGGCCGCGCCCAGTCCAGGGCGCACTCGAGGGCGGCCTCGCGGTCCTCTGGCGCGGAGGCCTCGCCGAACTTGAGCGAGGCTCTGGTGGCGATGCCTCTGCTCCCCGGGCCGACCGGCATTCAGATTTCGGCATTTCATCCTTGGTGCGTGCTGTCGCTTGGCATGTTTGTTCGGCCCCACTGCGTGAAGGCGTCGCTCGTGTATGCAACCTGACATGCCCGGGCCCATCAGCACGAGCCCGCTCGGCATGGCGCTCCTGCGTGGAACTGACGAGCTGCTCGAAAACTTCTCTGGACGTCTTGGGCCGTGATGCTGCTGCCTCGCCAGCGTCTCCGTCGGCCCGCTCTCCTGGCTCCTGTCCACCGTCGGCGTCCATGCTCTGGGCGGCGAATCAGTCCCGCCAACTGGCCGGCCGAAACGGCGGCCCAGCGCCCTGATCGAATCCCCCCACCCAGGAAGGTCCAAGTCCTCTTAATACTCTGTACCAGCGCACCAGTCCTGCCACGCTGCTGGGCCTTGAGACTGTTTGCCTCGAACGTCCCATATCCAGAAGGTTGCATCAAGCAAAGGATCGCAATTCAGCTCTTCGCTCCCCCGGTCCGAAGAGTGCCCACTGCGCGCCGACTGATTGCCGAGCTGAGAGTGCCGATCAAGATGCATTGGAACCCGCCGCCCACCCCCAGTCGCGCGCGTCGCTGCCGTCACAGACGGACCCTAAGGAAGCGAAGTCGCCCCAGTCACTGAGCAGGTTTCTGAGCTCGGGCGGAGGCCAAGCCGAGGGGCGCGAATCGGCGCGCCTACGTAGAATCGAGGCCCAGACGAGGCGCATCGATACCGGGCTCCAAATCACTCGCCCATTCAACGTCGATCACATTGTCTCCCCACAACAACTGCCGGATTTCGCGTCTGGCCAAGGTCGCAATCTTTCGCGCCGCTCGCGCGCGAACCGAACTTCGAGCGCGTCGACGTCGAGGAGGGCGAGAATCGCTCGGAAGACTGGCGGCCGAACTCTGCAGACAGAGCCTCGGCCCCGCGCCGCGCGGCTTCCTCGTCCAGAGTCAAAAACTCCATCTCTGCAAAGGGTGACCGTGCGTCGACATGTTCGCCAAGTCATGAGATCGCCAATGGATGGGCGCCACGCCCCGGCACTCCTCCAAACCATTTGCCCGGCGGCAGGGGGCGCTCGATAAGAAGGGTTGTGCCTTGCACCCGTTGCTGCCAGTGCCCTCGCACGCTGCGGCGCAAACTCAGCGCCGGCGCCTCCCGGGGGCAAATCGGGGGGAGGTGGCTCCGGGTCCCCTAGGCGGCCTTGCTGTCAGGCCCCCACTGGTGCGCAACCGCAATAGAACTTGCCACCGGCCCGGGCGGTTTGTCTGGCTCCCCCGATGCATCAGCAGGGCCTCCAGATGGCTCAGCTCCGACTCCCCTGCCTGCAGCAAGGTCGCATTGGCGACGTGCCTCGGTCAATGCCTCGGCCTTGGACTCGACGTCCTCCGAAAAAGGCCGAGACCCCGCAGGACTTCCTGAAACTTGTGGATGTTGAGCTGCAAGGTGGGTGGGATAGGGGCAGTGCGTGATGGCTCCCAGCTGCGAGCGCGCTCGCCGTCGCCAGCCGATTGCGCTGTCCGCGCAGTTCGTGAGCGGCGGCCTATTGGGACTGCAAATCCGATTCGGTCTGCGCGATTTTGGCTTGAAGATGCACGAGCGGCTGCTTCTGCTTGGCGATCGAATCTTTGGCTTTGAGAATCGTATTCTCAACTGCCTGGATGCGCGCAGAGGCGATGTGGACCTTCGAACGGACTGGTCTGTTGGCTCGGAGGGTCTCGCAGCGGGCCCCTCTCAGCCTCCGGCGCACGCCGCAACTCATCCCGTGCTGAACCCGCGAACTTACGCCTGCAACTGCTTCCCAACCTCGCCAAAACGTTGCTCTGCTGCATCTCCAGTGAGCGACTGTCCCTCCATGGAAACATCGGCCTGTTCGGCCGCGGAGCCATCCGGAGTCGACTTCCCTTGTGATTCCAGGTTGATATCGGAGCTGCTCGAAATCTTTCGCTGGGGGCTGGGGACTGCGCTCGATCCAAAGCAGACGCCTCTGTGGAGCCCACAACCCGCAGTTCACCCACGCCTCCTCCTCCTCCTCCTCCTCCTCCTCCTCCTAGCGAAGCGGGGGACTCGCGCTACACCCTCCGCGCCCCCTGACCACCTTCGCGAAAAACAAGACTGGGTAGGCCAGCTGCAACAAACCCCGGCGACGGCTCCCAGCGACGGCTCAGCCGGCAAGCGCCGCGACCAACGCCGCGCGCTCGCGCGGCCGCGCCTCCTCCGCCGCCAGCGCCGTCCGGACTTGTCGCGCCGTTGCCTGGTGCAGAGCTGTGCTCACCTCTGCGGCCCTCCGCACGGCGAGGGCGCTGGCCGCGGCGTCAGCCTGCTCCTCCTCCTCGTCCGCCTCCTCCTCCCCACCTTTTTTTCACCCGCCCGACAGCGGGCTCCGGGCGCCTGTTCGGCGCGCTGCGCCCTGGCGGCCACGCGGGCCAAGGCGCGCTCGCGGGCCCTCGGGGGGCGCGGGGGGGGGGGGAACGGGCGCGGGGGGGGGGGGGGGGGGGCGGCGGCGGAACGCAGTGGGGGCGGGGGGGGGGGATGGGGGGACGAGCAGGATCAGGAGCCCGCGGGGTCTTCCGCCCCCTCCTTCCTCCTCCTCCTCCTCCTCCTCCTCCTCCGTTTCCTCTTCCTCCTCCTCGACCTCGTCCTCCTGCTGTTTTCCTCCTCCTTCCATGCTCTCTCCCTCACATCTTACCGCTCGCCCGCTTACGTCAGGCTGTCGCCCTCGTCGCGGGAGGAGCAGCAGCGAGGACGAAGGTTCGGAAGAGGACCGGGAGGCAGGCGGACGGCGAGGAGGCCGAGGGCGGGGAGGGAGGAGGACAGCGAGGGAGGAACAGGAGGGATGACGACAAGCAGAAGGAACAGGGAGGGTGGGACCCAACCTTGCTCCCTTTCATTTCCCCTCTGCTCTTCCCCTCCCCCCTCCCACCCCTCCACGGCCCTTTCCACCGCCCCTTGCCTCCATGGGAGCTGCAGCCTTGCTGTCGTTTGAAAGCGATGGGCGTTGTTTTTGTCCGTCGACTGGGGGCAATGGACGCCATGTTTTTGGACGCCAGAAATGGGTACGGAAAGAATGGGTACAATGCCCAACAACAAATGTTGTCCCAAACCAGCAGCGGCCGCTATTGGGCAGGCGGCCTTCTGTCTCGAATGAACACAGGTCCTCTCATCGAGCAGCGAGTGCGGGAGAACCACGTGCACGCGCGCGCCCGTCGTTGCGGGTAGGCGTGCCGGGGTTCGAAGCGAGGGGGTGGTGAAAGAAGCGGGGACGGAGCAGGGGGGGCGAGGAAAGGAAGGATGGTTGGCCAGTGGGTATCCTCAACGCCCGCATGATCCTCCTCGATGGTTCCCTCGGCATGCCCCCCCCCCCACCCAGCCACCACGCCCACCCCTCCTCGGCTCAGGATTCGAGGCGGCAATAGCACGACCGTAATTGCCGCAGGCGCGATGCACTCGCAGTGTGCTGCAGAAGCTGGCAACAACGGCGCCAGCACTGCCTTACAGTCAGCAGGCTAGCTCCTATGCCACGATGACAGGCACGCTTGTGGACAACCGTGGCAATACAAATGAGGCTCAGTAGTGTTATGTCGGGCGTGTCCCCCTACAGGGAGATTTTTTCGACGAAAAATTAAAAATACCCCAAACATAGTCAACAGATAATCCAATAATAGCTATCGCGCCAGCAGTTTATGTTTACGACGTTGATTCTTCTCCGATTGAATTGAGCATGCTAGTTCATATGCCATGAAAAGAGCAGGCTTGTGGACAGCAGTGGCAATACAAGTGAGGCTCAGCAGTGGCAGTGTGCACCGTTGTCCAAAAAGCATGCACGCCTGAAGCCGAATCGCTGTGGCGGTCGTCCGCCCATCCTCCGCGTGCCGGGGGGTGAGAAGGCGTGCGAGATGCTTGGCTGCCCCCCTCCCCCTTTCGCCCTGCCCTGCTGCTGCTGCTGCTCCTCCTCGTTCCCTTACTTCCATTCCCTCCTCCTACTCCTCCTCCTCCTCCTTCTCCTGGTCCTCCTCCTCGTTTATGGGCGGTATACGAGCCTACCGTCGCCTCCCTGGAGACTCCTGAGCTTCCAAGCCTGCCTTCCGTGGCCTCAAAGGCGTTCCAAGACGGTCCCGAATCGCCGAAAGATGGGCCCAAGGCGCCTCCCATGGATCCAAGACGCCTCAAGACGCCTTCGAGACGCCTCATGAGCTGCCCGAGAGCCTTCCCAAGCGGGCCCGAGGAGGCACAAATAAATGGCTGTCCTTAAGTGTTTCCTTGTTTCTGGGGTTATCGTCTTCTCCAGCTTCCGACGCTCCGAGACGGCCCAAGAGGCCCCGTAGACCGTCCCAGAACTACCCAAGAGGCCCCTACGAGGGCTCCAGGATGGCCCAAGAGGGTTCCAACACGGCCCAAAGAGGGTCCCAAGACGGCCAAAGATCGCCCCAAGAGAGGCCAAGAGGGAGAACACGAACCGAAAATCCCATCCCCAAGGGCCCCCAAAAAGCTCCAATAAGCGCCCGAGCGGCCCAAAAGAAGCCCCCAGTAAGCCCCAAGAGGCCCCCGACAAGCTCGAAAGAGGCCCCCAAACAGCCCACAATACGTTTCAAACTGCCTCCGAGCGGCTCAACCAGGCCCCCAATCAGCTCCCAAGACGTCCACACGAGCCCCAGATGCGGAATGGCGTAAGCCTTTTGAATCAAACTTGCGGATCATTGTGGACTGCCCTATACTTCTTCCGTGTTTCGCCCGGGCCTTAGTCCGATCAGCATCGGCCTCGACGCCGCCCGATTGCACCATCACAGAAGATGCGTCGGGCCGCGACCACCACTGTCGACGAGGGGGTGCCACCCCCAAGTGAGGCTCTAACGATGCAATTGGGGGGGACTGACTCAGGGAGGGAAGACATCGAGCTGCAATCGGCGATACATCGGCCATAGATCGGCGCTAAGCCCCCGATGGGGCAAAACCGAGTAGCCCCTATCGGCGATGAATCGGCGACTTGGCGTCGATAATTACGTTTCCCCCTGAGCCTCTCCCTCCCTAAACGTTGCCTCTGCCCCGTAGCTTCCTAGTCGCAACTCGGTCCTCCCCGGCCGTTCGGGAGCATCTCCGGGCACCCCCGGAACGCTCTCGGCGAGGCGCGGCCGCTGGAAGGCGTCCCGAGGTTGGCACGCCACTGAGAACCGACGACGACGTCAGGAAACCTCGAGCCTCGACATCCGATGTCTTGATAAGGAGCCGAACTCTCTACACCGACGCCTTTGTCTGGCCTCACGCTGAATCTCGCACAGGAAAGCGGATCCTGGTGTACACGGGATCCTGGTGTATACATTCTTCGCTGCTTCCCCGGGAGAACGGGGAAACGAGTATGCACCACACCACTCCGACGTCGCCCCCGACCCTCAAAAAAGTCCTGGGATTGAAAAACCGCCCCGAGGCCTGGACCTCTCACCAGGGCTCGAGTTAAACAGTGCTCTCCGTTCCCGTTTCGTTTTCGTCGTCCCCAGTTCTGCCTTCGTGCCACACCTGCTGCAAAACGAAATCAAAACGAAAACGGCCCACGAAATTGCCAAAACACCGTTTACCTCGACGTCGGCCCGTCGGCGTTAGGCAATTAGGCTCTTGCGCGGCCCGCTCGGACCTTACTCGCCGCCGGCGCTCTCGCCTGCGGCTGCTAACAACAAAATGTATATGCTCTAGTTTCCGACTTGCGTTTCTCCATGCGGAGTTCCTCGAGGTCTGGACCTCTCACCAGGGCTCGAGTTAAACAGTGTTTTGGGCCCCCAGGACACACACAAACAAATACACACAAATAAACACTTGCCCAGATCTTCCCGTATTTTCTGCGCTTTTGTCTCCCCCCCCACTTCTCATATTTCCCCACATTTTCGGGGAAATCGACGATGAATTGTGTCTGTGTGTTTTTGTTCCCTCCCGCCCCGGGCCCAGCTGTGCGTCCCGAGCCGCTCCTTCCGTGGCCCCGGGGCCAGGCGAGAGCCCCCCCCCCCGGAGAGAGCCCGAGGACTGCGACGAGCCTCCGCCGGGAGCTCCTCTCGGGGGCCACGTGCGAACCCTACCCCTACCCCCCACGATTTCTTCCACCCTCTCCTCCTCCCTCCTCCTCCTCCTCCTCCTCCTCCTCCTCCTCCTCCTCCTCCTCCTCCTCCTCCTCCTCCTCCTCCTCCTCGTACTACTACTGAGGGGGAGGGTGGGGTCCACTCTGCTCGGGAGCTCGCGAGCGAAATGAGCCCCGCCCTCCCCCTGCGAAGTCGTGGGGGGTCGGGGCAGGGTTCGCACGCGGCCCCCGCTTCTCGAGGCGCTGGAGGTCCGGGAGCCTCGCGGCGCGCCGGCGGCGGGGACGCCCAGCAAACCGGGTCGATGCAAACTCAAGGGGCCTAAGGACACACAAACAAATACACGCAAATCAAATTATTCCCCATATTTTCCCATATCTTCTGGGTTTTTGTCTTCCCGCCCAATTCCCATGTTTTCCTATATTTTCCTGGGAGTCGACGATGAATTGTGTCTGTGTGTTTTTTCCCTCCTGACAAGCACGGGTCAGTCAGGCCTTGCAGGATCCTGCAAGATCCTGCACCCAAGCCCGGGTCAGTCTGGCCCTGCAGGATCCTGCAAACTCGGGCGCTCTGGCGGACCCCGTTTGCGTTTAATCCCGTCTCTTGCAGGCAGGCGCGTTGCACTACTCACAGAGTAGCTACTCGCAAACAGACTGGACGCGCTGCGCGGGATCCACGATATATTTATATATATATATATGCATATATATATATATCATATTATATTATATTATATTATATTATACCATAATATATTAATATATTTTATTACGTTATATTATATATTATGTACTATATATATCATATATTATATTACATTATATTCTATTCTATTATATTATATTATATTACAGTAAAGTATGTTATGTTATATTATGATGTATTAAAATAAATTGTATCACATTACATTTATATTACCTCATGCTATTTTGTAGTATATTATATTGCATTAAACTATAGTATGTTATATTCTATTGTATTATATCATGCTATATCATATTATATTATAACATATCATAGTATAACATATCATATTATATTATATTACATTCTATTATACTACATTATAATATAGTATATGATATTACATTATATTATATGATATGATATCATATCATATCATATTGTATTATATTATGTTAAATTATATTATACTATATTATATTGTATTCTATCATAAGATATGATATCCGATTATATTATAGTATATGGTGTTATATTTTATTGTATTATATTATATTATATTCGGACGTTTGCGAGTGGGCACTTTGCGAGCAGTGGAGCGCGCTCGGTGATTCCCCCTGCCCCAGGGCCAGACATCTCGGTTCGTGACGGCGGTGTACGAGCCTCCCGCCGCCTCCCTGGAGGCTCCGGAGCTTCCGAGTCTCCCTTGCGGGGCCTCGGAGGCGTTCCGAGGCGGTGCCGAACCGCCGAAGGATGGGCCCACGGCCCCTCCGTTGGCGTTGACCCCCGTCTCTGGATCGGGCGTTGGCAGAACTGGCTTTGGTGGGACCTGGTTTAGTGCTGTGTACCAGGGGACGCCCCCCCGCCCCGCTCCACTAACCGGAAGTGCCGCCACCCGAAAAGCACCAGCTACGGCAGACCTGGTTTGGTGACTCTGGCCAATTTCGGGGCTCCAGGGCCCTATACAGTGGGGACTCGGCCACAAGAAACCTCCGCAAGAAACCCAACCCTGAGATCCGCGACTTGTTCAGTGAAACTCCACATGTGTCGATCGAAGATCGTCAAGATCTGAGTGGGAGCCCATCGAAATCCAAGAAACCCAGGGCACCCTGGCAAAATCCAACTGGTTTCTTGGCACGCGCCCCCACTGTAGTCAACCCGCAGATGAAGGATGCGCGATAAGGATGCAAGGGCCTGGGAAGCCCATCTCGAAGCTTTTCGAGCGGGGCGCGGCCAGCGAAAGTGGCCCAGGATGGACCAATGAGGCAAGGATGCAAGGGTATCTTTGGGAGGGATGCCTATCCTTACTCTGCGGGTCGACTGTACCACTAACCGGGCATGAGAGCCCAGAATCGAATCGATAAGTCGGATCGGCGATCGAAATGAATCGAATCGGCGGAAATCGGCAGCCGAGTCGGGAGAAGTCGAATCGGCGGAAATCGGCAGGCTAGTGTGCCTCCAATAAGAAATCGGAGCACAAATCGGAATCCGGAGTCGAATCGAATCGGAATCGGAAACCATCGAAATCGAATCGAATCGAATCGGAGGAATCGAAACGAGCCCTGCCGGATTCCATAATAAGTCGGGGGGGTCACATTTGGGGGGGGTCTGATTTGAGCTGTCTTGGAGGGTTCGGGGGGGTCTGGGCAAAGGGCCGCCCTTTCATGGATGGCCTGGGAGGGTCCAAAACTTCTCGTCTGGGAGGGTTGAGACCCCCTCCCTTTTATTACGAAATCTGGAGTACCTTTGGGAGGGATGCCTATCCTTACTCTGCGGGTCGACTGCACCACTAACCGGGTCCCCTTCCTTGGGGTCCTCGCTATACCTGACTTGGGCGCCCGAGTTATCCGGGGCAACTCGGGCCCGGGGCAACGCGGGCTTGGACCCCCGAAAAACGAGCCCGAGTTAGCCCTGACCCGAGTTACCCCTGATGATTTGGGGCTCTGGACGCCCGAGTGATCCGGGGTAACTCTGGAGCCCCGAGAGGCAGTGACTCCTGGAGCCCCGAGAGCGGCGGGGGCAGACGCGTGCCGGCGCCGAGGCGGACGCCTCGCGGCCCCGCCCGGGGGCGCGCGCCTCTCTGCTGCCCGCTGCCCCGCCGAGGCGTCGGCCGCGTCGGCGCGGGGCGCGGCGGCACCGCCTCGCGTTTTTTTTTTGGTTTGTTTCTTTTGTTTTTTTTGTTTCTTTCGTTTCTTTTGTTTTGTGTTTTTGTGTTACGGTGAAAACACACACATACACATAAATACACACATATATTTATATACATGTGTATATATATATATGTGTGTAGCAAAACGTTGTTGTTTTTTGTTCGATGGCTCACATCTGGATTTTTGTTGAGGGCTGGGGTCCTGAGGACGAGGTGCCTCGGACGCCGTTGAGTCCGCCCTCGCATCCCTTCCCATCCTCGGGCCCCCACCCCTCGGGGCCCCACACTCGAGCCACCGCTCTCTTGCGCGCGCGGCGGCGGGCCCCGCGGGGACACAGCTGAAAGACGAGGCCAGGAGTGCGGGACAGGAAAATGACCACGACCGCTGCTTCTTGTTTGCGTCGCGAATTCCAGCTGGCCGAAACAGAAGCAGTGGTTGTGGTCGTTTCCCTGGTGCCAAGCTTCACGAAGATGACCACAACCACTGCTCTGTTTCTGCTGGCTGAAGGCGGCACCAAAAGAAAAGCAGTGGCTGTGGTCGTCTTCGCGCCCCGTAAGGACGAGGCCGAGCTTGGGCGGGGAAGCAACTCGGGAAGCTCGGCGATCCGGCGGCCCCGGAGGCTCTCGAGGAGGTCTCGGGCGCCGCGGCCTTCTCGGAGCGCTCCGGGAACGCCCTGAGGGCGATCTGGGCCCCGTCCGAAGCAGGGCCAAGCAGGGGGGGGGAAGTAGAGGGAGAACAACACAGCAGAAACACAGACTCCCGACGGCCCGCGCTGGACCCCACTCCCCGGCGCGCGGAGCGCGCCAGGGGCGGCGCCGGAGGCGCCGCCAGGGGGGCCCAACGCAGCTCCTAGAAATCCGGGCAGAGCGTCAACACTTTCTGCTTGTGCCGTTTTCTGTCCTTCGATGGCACATCAACGCCTCCCTGGGCGGGGTGGGGCCATCGGGCCCCTCTCGCCGATCACAGTGGGCGATTTTGGGGGTCCATGCGTCCCCCCCCTATTGAAGGGGCCCCAGGACACACAAATAAATACACACAAATCAAATAATTCCCCATAGTTTCCAATACTTTCTGGGTTTTTTTTGTCTTCCCCCCCACTTCCCATATTTTCCCATCTTTTCCTGGGGGTCGACGATTCATTGTGTCTGTGTTTTTTCCCCTCCTGACCTATGCCCATCCCCCCCCCCCTATCGCTGCCCCTGAGAGGGGGGGGGGGGGCGAAGGGGAGGGGCTCGACGGCCCGCGCTGGAGCCCCCTCCCCGGCGCGCCGCCAGGGGGGACCCGACGCAGATCCGAGAACTCCGCGCGGACCGTCGAAGCCTTCTGTTTATGCCGTCGTTTCTACGGAGAAAACAAACCTACCTCGCTTTTGACCACCCTCGCTTCCAAGAAATACCAAGCGATGATGGCAACTGCGGCCCGTACTGGTCAGGCCGCTCGACGAGGAGGCGCGTGGTATGACTTGGTTTGTCCTGGAAGCGAAAGCGGGGTAGGTAATTCACGCTCTGAGCCTCGCCCTTCGAGGAGAGGGGAGGGGTTCGATTTTTTCTCCACGCGGAGCACCCACCAACGTTTGAGCAGGGACCGGCCGTCTCGGCATTCCTATAGTCCTACCACGAAATGTTCTTAGAACCCAAAAATGTTTGAAGAACAAAAACAATGTTCTTGGAACATAAGCCCGATGTGTTAAAACAAGGCAATCTCAACCAGAGATGTTCTAAGAACATTTCTTGGAAACCACGAAAGGTTCTTAGAACATTGTTTGGTAGGGCTATAGGCGAGCCGGGACGCTTCGCCTCTGCTTGAAACGTCCACAGCTCGATGCCTCCACAGCCGGGCTGCCGGCTGCCAAGTGCACGACGCGCCCACGCGCTGCCGGCCGGGCCCGGCACCAAAACCCTGGCATGGGGCAGCGGGGGCAGATGCATGAAGGGGCCCTGGGACACACACACACACACAACACACAACACACAACACACAACACACAACACACAACACACAACACACAACACACACACACAACACACAACACACACACACAACACACAACACACACAACACACAACACACACACACAACACACAACACACACAACACACACACACAACACACACACACAACACACACACACAAAAATAAATACACACAAATAAACAGATTCCCCATATTTTCCAATATTTTCTGAGCTTTTGTCCCCCCCCACACTTCCCATATTTCCAAATATTTTCTGGGGAATCGAAGATTCATTGTGTCTGTGTGTCTCTTTTCCTCCTGAGGAATCGGTGCTCCAAGATCCCGCATGGGGAGGGGCTCGAAGTACGGCAGGTTCGCGCGGCGTCGGCGCGCGCAAGGGCTCCTGACACCGCCTCGATCCTTCAGCCTTGCACCGATCGCGGCCCCGATCGCTCGAGGCTGGATTCGGTCGGGTCCCATGGCGTCAACGCGCACACCGGTGCTCCCGCGTCGTCGCATCCTGCCTCGAAAACGCCGCCGCCGGCGTCGCCTGCGCGCCGACGCCGCACCAACCTGCCTGTACTCGCCACAGCGGCGCCGTGACAAACCGCGCGGTGGCCTCGGGGCCGCCCGAGAAGCCCCGGGTACCGAAAGAATGGGTACAATGCCCCACAACAAATTTTGTCCCAAACCAACAGCGGCCGCTGTTGGGCAGGCGGCCTTCTCTCTCGAACGGACACGGGCCGCGGCGGCGTGGACAGTGAATCTTGCTCAAACTGAAAAGGAAGTGTTGTTGGGCATTGTACCCATTCTTTCCGTGCCCATTTCGGGCGTCCAAAGAGGGGGAGGAGGAGGAGGAGGAGGAGGAGGATGAGGGATGAGGAGGAGAGAGGAGTGAGGAGGAGTAGGAGAGGAGGATAGGAAGGAGGATAGGGAGGTGAGAGGAGAGGTAGGAGAGGAGAGGAGTGGGGAGGAGGAGGAGGAGTGAGAGGGAGGGGGAGGATGAGGATAGGAGGAGAGGGAGGAGTCAGGAAGGAGGAGGAGGAGGATTAGGAGGAGGAGGAGGAGGAGGGAGTAGGAGTAGGAAGGTGTCAGGGGGATGTGGAGGCGGGAGACTCTGAGGAGGAGCACGGCCTGGGGGCCCCTAGGGAGCCCCGGCTGTGTGTCCACGGGGGGGCGTCCCGGAGGCGTGGCCCGGGGGCCCCCAGGTTGCGGCCGCCGCACCCCTGCGATTCCCCGCGGATCCTCCTTTCCTCCTCCTACTCCTACCTCTCCCCCTCTCCTTCCTCCCTTCCTCTCCTCCTCCTCCTCCTCCTCCTCCCCTTCTTCTTCCTCCTCCCCTTCCTCCTTCCTGTCCCGCCTCCTTCTTCTGTCTCCCTCCTCCTCCTACCCCTCCTCTCCTCCTCCTCCTCCTCCCTTCCCTCCTCCTCCTTCGTCCTTTCCTCCTTCCTCCTCCTCCTCCTCCCCTTCCTCCTCCTCCTCCTCCTTCATTCCTCCTTCTTCCTGTCCTCCTCATCTCCTCCTCCTCCTCCTTTCCCTCCTCCTCCTCCTCCTCCTTTCCTCCTCCTCCCCTCCTCCCCTTCCTCTTCCTCCTCCCCTTCCTCCTCTTCTCCTTCATCTCCTTCCACTCCATCTCCTCCTTCCCCTCTCTCCTCCTCCTCCTCCTCCTCCACTCCTCCTCCTCCCCCTCCCGCTCCCCCTTCCCCTCCCCCTTCCCCTGGCCTAAAAGAAAACACGGCGATGCATCGTCGACGTCGGCGACGCATCGGCGACGCCGACACGAAGCAAATCGGGCTCCACATCGAGACGCATCACCGATGCATCGGCGATGCTGGAAGAAAAAAAACGCCACAAACTGCTGGCGCTCCGCGCGGATGTCTCGGATCTGCGCTGGACCCCCCTCCCTGGCCCTGCGCCGGAGTTGCCGCTGGGGGGGGCCCAGCGCGGATCCAAGAAATCCGCGCGGAGCGCCAAAAATTTATGTTTATGCCGTTTTTCTTCTTCGAGCATCGGCTCCGGCACCTCTGAGCTCGCGTAACCGATCCCCATCCATCCCCACCAGCGCGGGCCGGGCACCACTGGCCGATGTACCCCCCTGGACGGCTGCTCTCTTTTCGGGCTTCGGGGGGCGCATCCCCAACTGAGAGGGCGAGACGGTGGGGCCCGCGAGATGTGGATGAGGATGTGGATGAAATCCGCTTTTTTGGTCGGCGGCTCCAAGGCAACGGTCAGGCAGCGGAAGCAGCGTCCGGGATGCGGCACGGTGCGAATTTGCGAACACGGCCGCCAATGTCGGCAAGCCAGTTCGCACCTGCAAAACAAGCTCGCGGCTGCACATGCACAGAACAATGGATGAAATCCGCGCGGAGCGCCGAAAGCTTCCGCGTCCTCGCTTTTGACCACCCTCGCTTCCAAGAGATACCAAGCGATGCCAAACTGAGGCCTGTACTGGTCAGGCCGCTTGACGAGGAGGCGTATGGTATGACTTGGTTTTGCCTGGAAGCGAAAGCGGGGTAGGCAATCCACGCTCCGAGAGATGTTGGATGAGGATGTGGATGACATCCGCGCGGAGCGCCAAAAGTTTCCGCGTATGGCGATGATCGGAGCATTGCGCCGTGTGGGGACCCCCGCGGGGCGAGGCGAGGGGGCCCGCGAGATGTGGATGAGGATGTGGACGAAACCCGCGCGGAGCGCCAAGAGCTTCCGCGTGTGGCGTGCTGTCTCCTCCGAGGGTCGGGGCACTGCGCCGTGCGGGGGCCCTTCGCGGGGCGAGGCGGGGGCTCGCGCGCGGCTGCCGGAGTCGACGGAGCAGCGCTCCGTGCTCCAGGAAAGCTCATCCTTGGTTCTGGAGGAGGAGGAGGAGGAGGAGAAGGAGGAGGAGGAGAAGGAGGAGGAGGAGGAGGAGGAGGAATCAGAGTCAGGATAAGTCGGTACAGTCGGTCCGTACAGTCGGGGGCTTGACCTAAGGAACCCAAAAAATAAGGAACGAGGCCCCCTTCTTCCATGAGTTGAACTTCGATTTCCTGTCGAAAACATG